GGATGCTGGTTGTTCCTCTAGAAGTCATCTGCTTCGTTGTGGTCATATCCCTGGAATATTTCAGTGTGATTGAAAATTTATTAGACTCTGAATTAATGGCTTCAGTCTCTACCTGCAGAGAAGTATCTAGCTTCCTCAATGTGGTCATATCCCTGGAATATTTATGTGTGATTGAAAATTTATTAGACTCTAAATTAATGGCTTCAGTCTCTACCTGTAGAGAAGTATCTAGCTTCCTCAAGTGTAAGTGTAACTGAGACTGATAAAAAGTTGCCTTCTTGCAGGTTATGTCGAGAATGATGGGTGACTCAGCCTACAAAAAGCACTCTTGATTGTTTTGTGAAGATGCTTAAGAATGATGTATGTTTCAGTTCCACACTGCTACTCATGTTATGATTCTCGGTTCAAGTTTAGACGAGCAGAAAATATACAGACATGACCTTCCACTGAACAAAACAATAGTATTCACTGTATCATGTGAACCTGCACATCTTAAAACCTGTATTTGGGAAAATTGGAATGGTTTCCTAACGAAAGCCCTAGCTGGAAACCAACGAACGAAAAGGCTGCGTACCAGCATGCCAGCACCAGCAGACCGGGACGGTTTATACACAGGCCGCGGGCGGCCGGGCGTGGGAGGGCCGCATCGCGCGCAGGCCAGGCCGCGTGCCAGCAGCAGCAGGGTCGCTCGCTCCCCCACGAGCGCGACTCCGAACGCAGTAACTTTTGCGTTTGTCCATTGCAGGCCGCCGATTCACGTTGTCTAGCTAGCAGGCCCGGCCCAGGCCCAGGCCCAGTGATCCCTCCCCAGGTTAGTACTCCGCGTCTAACATGCGCCGCGCGAGTCGCGACTTCTCCGGTGCCTTTCCTTCGACAATTCGCTAGACGCCACCGCCGCAACCGCAACCGCCTCCCGTCGGCCGGGCACGTCCGTGCGCACCGCACATCGGCGGCACTCGGCACGTGATCTGCACTGCATAGGGCGAGCCGGTTCCAGTTCCATCACCCCATCAGGTACGTATCTCTTATCCCTAATTAGTGTATGATTATTCCTAATCAATTATAGATCATGTACAGCCGGCTGCGGTCCTACGATCCCTAATCAATTTTTTCTCTAAATTGTAGCAGTGCCATGTCCCGCGATCCATCTAGACCCGTTCGCTTGTCTTATAATATGTACTTTTCAGCTTGTTTTTTCAGTCGAAACAATGTTTTTCTCTCGCAACAAATCAGCCAACAGTAATTTTAGCCATAACTTATCAGCCAAGCGAACGGAGAAGAAAAGGCGAATAGATGCATGATTTGATACAATCACAGATAGGGCTCTTCATAAACTTCTTAAGAGCAATACAAGCACTTCAAGAATATTCAGATGCCTTGGTGATAGTTGCTCCAGAGAAATCATCTAATGCTAATCTAGAAGATCAGCTGAAGGAAGCTTCTCAAAATTAAAATTGCTGAAGTACTATTTAAGATCTATAATGTCACGACAGAGGTTAAATGGATTGGCAACATTATACATTGAGAAGCGATTATTGGATGAGATTGATATTGCCACCATCATCGATAACTTTGCATCGACAAATGTTACAAGAAAATTTTGAGGTAATTTAATATGTATACAAATTGTTCTATATGAATATTACTTTTGAATTCATTTAACTGCTTATTGGAAACATTTTGTATATGTGTATATATATACTAGCAATGAATAGTATTACTAGTAGTATTATCATGTTTATATAAAAAGGCCCAAAATTTTAGTCTCGTTCGGGGTCCAAAAATACTCAGGACCGGCCCTGCTAGCTAGCTAGGCGTAGTAGATGCTCATGCAGTGTATCTAGCCGTAATTCGCACTAGGCTCTTTTTTTTTTTGTCAGGGACTCTCTAGATCGGTGACTAAAGTTTAGTTCTTATCACATCGAATGTTCGGGTGCTAATTAGAAGAACTAAATATTAGCTAATTATAAAACTAATTACATAGATAGAGGCTTATTTACGAGACGGATCTATTAAACCTAATTAATTTATCATCAGCACATGTTTACTGTAGCACCACATTATCAAATTATGAACTAATTAGGCTTAATAAATTCATCTCGCAAATTAGCCTCCATCTGTGTAATTAGTTTTTTAATTAGTCTATGTTTAATACTCCTTATTCGCAGGTCCAACATATCTGATCTGCTGATGCAGTGGAAGTAATGCTCCCAGTCTAGTTGCCATATTTGATGCTATTATCACGATATTCTCGTTTTTGTTGACACGGTAAGAAGCAAAGCTCACAAAGAAACTTATAGTAAGAAAAGATTGTAATATACCTTGTTCTATTCAGTCCTGCCAGTCTGCTTAGGGTCCAAGCATTGGCATAGCCGCCTTTGAAGTGATAATACTCTATCATACGCTGATTAATGGGGGTATTTACATACCAATTCACATTTTTACCCAATACATCAAGTTCACATTTGATTCATCAATGCAAGAAACATTGTCAAATGCCATTTGGATATATTTCGAAACACTCCTGCTACTTGTGGTTTCCACGAACTAAAGCTAAATACGGTTACAGTTAACAAGTTACAATGATAAAACCAAACAGCAGCCACCCCATTGCTGCTTTGCTACTAGTAATAACGAATTTTCTTCTGCAATCAACTTCAGACACTGCACTGCACCGCACTGAACTGAACTTGGCAATTGTGCAGGATCAGCGCCCTGATAGGCCGTGCGGAGTGCACTGACCGCCTGACGGATCGGTCAATGGGCCTGACGCTCCTGCAGGCAGCAAAATGTCCGGCCTGTTCACTGACACTGACCTGGTCACTGCGAAAGCAACAAAGGCTAGTCATTTGCGCGCGCATGTCTCTCCTTGATTGTACCTGGGGGTGGGGTTGTTTTAAAGTTTAGCTATGCCACGTCAAATCTTTGATAACGATTAGGAGTATTGCATAGGCTAATTACAAAACTAATTATGTAGATTGAAGCTAATTTACGAGATAAATCTATTAAATCTAATTGTAATTAGGCTTAACAGATTCGTCTCGCTAATTAGTCTACTCTTGTACAATTAGTTTTATATAATTAGCTTATGTTTAATCATCCTGCCCCCGGGATACAAACACCCCATCGCGAGATGCCATGCTAAGACCAAAGGTATCCGTTCTTACCCTCCGGAGGTATTTGTTCTAACCGGAGTGTCTTGCGCGTAGGCAAGTATGATGTAACCCAAAGTGACCATAAAAACAGAGCGTAGAAGGCACAGACTCAGGAAAAATCACCAGAAAAACAGAAGGTAGAATAGAATCGCGGAATATTGCAGACACATCACACAAATTATAAAGTACATAGACAGCAGTGGTCCTAGGAGAGTAGGAGAGGAGACAGCGTTTGAGTGCGCAAGAGGTGGTGGAATACAACATATTACAGATATAAGGTCCGTGACAGGACCATATGTCTAGGTAGATCGGCTATGAAAATGGCAGCTGGTTTGGAGCATGCTGTGATGACTACGGCTGGTAATGGAGCTTCCAGCTTCGATCTGACAAACCATAGCTGGTAGACGAGCTTTGGGCACGTCCAGAGCCTGTTTAAATTTTTGAAACAAAGGTGACCGTCCGGTATATCATAGCAAGCTTGTTTTAGGCGTTAGGTAACTGCTACTGCTGCTATACCTATAACAGGGAAGGGGGATCCTGAAAGGGGAGATCATCTGACGAGCTGCTGTCCAGAAAGAGAGGAAATAAATGGCAAAAGAAAAGTATGTCATTGTTTTTTCCCCAAAGATTTCTCACAATAGAAAGCTAATGTGGAAGCACCAAAAGAGCAGTTCACAGCAGTAAGGATCAATGCACATTTATGTAACCCTCACCATGGATATTTATGAACTAAAACATATACTGTCCTGTCACCTCTAATGCTCTGCTGGTAGACTAAAAACTTTTTTTTCTCTGAAAACAACTTTTGGAGTCACTGAACCACAACGCAGAACTAAAAAAGCTCATGCTTCTTTAATCATAGCCATTTGTAAAATTTTCCTTATAGCCTGTAGATCCATACCTTCAATTCAATAAAGAGGAAGAAAATCCATGTAGCTATTAGCTCCCAGCTTGTAAAATTAAAAACAAAGAAAAACAAAAGTAACATTAGTTTTCTTTGGTGTAGCTAAACTTGATTGAAGAAGGACCAGAGGTAATTCATCTTTATCTAGAATGAGAGCCATTTTAGTAACACACATAAAACTGAAATAGACACCACAGGAATTGCAAAGGAACTGCAACAGAGTATTAAAGAGGTCAAACAGGATGGCTGAGATGCTGAAGTGAACGGGGAGCAGTCTAACGCCCTTGGCTAGGCAATATGACAAACACATGGTGTGTGCTAGGGGAACAGGCCCTCTCACTGCAGCACATACACATCAATTATAGGTGTATATAATATATAATTTAGTAATTTTATTGGCAGGTAGGAAATATTTCTGAAATACACTTCATATATGCTTCTATAAAAGAATTGGGTTTCCTTTGTTCACAAAGGAAGAATACTAAAGTTAATCCTTGCAACCAGAGGCTGCTCTGGCACCCTTCACTGTTACGACCACATCATCAGACAGAACAACTTTCTTCAGGGTACACAGAGAAATCAAGCATCAAAATTTAGATTTTGTTGTGAACATTCAAGCAATAGGTGTACATAATTCATAAATCAAACATATAAAGAGAGTAACTCAACTCAACTAACTTGTCATTAGATAAATATATGCTCTTAAATGTATGCAGGGAATTCATATTTCAAACCTGTAGTAGATCAACTAATTTGTTCCTCTCTTTTTAATTTAAAGAGAGGAACAAAATATTGATTCAGAACCTATGTATGAGTGGCAATACTTATCTGCAATGCTACTCCAAGGTGGCCTCACTCTCTCACTAATCTCATATTAGCCTGCACATGCAAGAAAGCAACATTCCACCATTATTTTTCAGTCATCAATAGTTTCTGTGAGCATGCCAGGAACAATAGGGTATATGGCACCAGGTACCCCCAGTTACACTAGTCTTGTTTTTTATCATGCTAATACATGTATTGTTGTAATTAATACTCCTGTTTGTAAATATTTTTATTACCAGAGTACGGATCCAGTGGAAAAGTATCAAGAAAGAGTGACGTATTCAGCTATGGGATCATGCTTCTTGAAGTGCTTACAAGAAAGAAGCCAACAGATCCAATGTTTCGTGGACAACTAAGCCTAAAGATGTGGGTCAATCAAGCATTTCCAAGAAAACTTATCGATGTTGTGGATGAATGTTTACTGCAAGACCCTTCAATTAGCTGCACGGATAACTTCCTTGAGTCAATGTTTGAATTGGGTTTACTATGCCCAAGTGACATACCTGACGAAAGGGTGAGGATGAGTGATGTGGTTGTGACACTGAACAAGATAAAGAAAGATTATTCTCGTTATACAACAGTAGCAGGTCCCACATCATTTGGTGCTGTCGATAGCATTTCAATGTGCATGTAAGCAGTGCATGACAACTAAGTTACTCAACATACTTGTTGTCAGAGAATACCAAATATTGTCTTGTTACTAGATGCACTGCCAGTCATTGAACTTTTGAGTAACAGATAATAACAGTGAACAGAGACGTAAGGTGTATCCTGATTCTTCAGAGTATAGTGTGTATTTTCAGACTTCCTCACCTCCTATAGAGGAATTTCCATTGTTATATAAATTGAAACAGAAACCTACTTGCAGAAAAAGTTCCTGAATTCTCAAATTAACACCAAAGCATTACAGGGTGCAGAAGAAAGTGAAACTTACCACAGCATAAATGTAGCTACTCACATAACATTTGTGATGAAGTGGCTAGCCTACAAGAGATCTACCTAGCAATTTCAACTGCAGTACATAGCCAAGAAAAACAGTTTCCTACCACTTAACTACCTCGTCCTACAGAGTATAAAACATACACAACAATAATATCCTACTGATCAAACCACAGATTAGCAATCGTTAGGGAGTGGACAATGGACATACATCAATGTAGATTTTATATCCAGTTGATCAAGCCACAAATTTCAGGCAGCGTGTATCATTGTGTATGACTTGACAGCGGCAAGAACAGAACCTTGTTCCACACCTCACGCATGTGTAGTTTTCAGAACTACCACAAACTGAGCGGTAGTGCCGTCGAGATGAAGTACTCGGTGGACCCACAGTAGCCCTCAAATATGTTGGGACATGAGGAGGCAGGGATTCCAGATTTGCCTGTCACAGTTCCAGAGTGAAAATCTTTCCAGTATTGTACTCACAAAATAAACATGACAATAAAGAAACTTATAGCTCAAGGTTGCTTACTTCTTGTAAGACATCCATGAATGATCTTGCTGCCCTCTTCTCCAAAGCTTTCCCCTGCCTTGTCTTGCGTTTCATAATCTTGGACTGCTTTTTTTTGCATGAGAACTGTACAAAGGAAAGCAGAAAATAAAAGATGGCTTACATCATTGAACTAAAGTTATCAGTGGGTACAGCATTGAATGGACATCCACAGATCCACAACCCATAGACTATATAAGTATGTAACACAAATGCAGAATTTAAAGAAATTGTGAACCCAACCTTTGCAGTTTACAAGCTGTAGCATGTGGAGTTTAAAGATATATAAATTACTGACTTTAGGGGAATTCCAGATGCTAATAACATGGGTTGACAAGCTGCAGCATGTGAACCTCAAAGATATCTAAATGACTGGCTTTAGGGGCATTTCAGATGCTAATAACAGTCACCTTATTAATAATTTGCATTGTTGTTCATGCCAGATGTGTTAGAAGCGAACGTCTGCTTTAAATATTTTCTTTCAAGGATAATTTCAATCTTACTTTGAAACTTTTGCAATGGCAAGAAATAAATACAAATGTTTCTTATTCTGCAAACTGGATACTGCAAGCAATATAAAAAAATATGTCATACACAAGAAATCTGTATTTCAATACTTGTTGTTTACAAAGAGCAACATTTTGTCATTGAGCTTGTGCATAGTGTATCCACCTTATCCTTTTTCACATCATGGCATTACTATATGAAGATAATAAAGGAGAAAGAAACTGACCAGGGTCTTCCTCATCTGTGGATCCGTACTCATCATCATTAAGATCTACCACCTCAACCCCAGCATTATCGCTCTCAAGAGCTTCAAGGCGAGCTAATGCAGCCTGCATGGCATTACAGATATGAAGGTATCCATAATGGGACAGCAGAACATCAATCAAGGAGAATAATTTCAGACACAGTGATTGATCGGCAACCTATAAGTACAAAATGGTCCCAAACTGAATATGCATGGAAGCTGAATTAATTAACACCTCAAAAAAAAAGTCAAATCCTTTGGTAAGGAGCCATGAGAAAGGCACAGGCACCACAATACACATGGCACATAAATACGCATTGCAAACCCAGGATACAACTCTTTTCCTAAAATGTTTTCTATAGCATTTATTAGTATTACCAAAACTACGTACTTTTCAATGAGGCCAAATGGCCAATCATTCTTCTAAAAAACAGAAATAACAATAAGGCCAATCACTTGAAATGAAATGCTTCTTTTATACTTGCTAGATAGAATTGCTGACCACAACACATGAGGAGAGACAGTGTAGAGAGAGCATCTATCCAATTCTAAGTCCAGCACAGTGAACTGAAAAAAAAAATACTGGTTTCATCTATCCAATTCTAAGTCCTCCCGCGTGGTTTCATCTCCACACTTTTTTCAGTTCACTGTGCTGGACTTAGAATTGGATAGATGCTCTCTCTACACTGTCTCCCCTCATGTGTTGTGGTCAGCAATTCTATCTAGCAAGTATAAAAGAAGCATTTCATTTCAAGTGATTGGCCTTATTGTTATTTCTGTTTTTTAGAAGAATGATTGGCCATTTGGCCTCATTGAAAAGTACGTATCCAATTCTAAGTCCTCCAGCGTGGTTTCATCTCCACACCAACCATAAAAAAAAAACTGATAAATCACCGAATTACAAAACCACCATGGGGACAACCAGGACTCGAGGTTGAGGCTAGAGCAGAGATGCTACTTGGTGATAGTCATCTAGAATGTGCTCTTGCTTAGTGTTAGTTCTCCTCTGTGGTAGGTTTCAATTCATTTGGAATATTTGTGGTCCAGAATATTTTTGATAAACTTAGAAGTAAAATTTTAAACAAAATATACAATAAACACTATAGTTTAAAATTAACATGTAGACAAAAAAAATTGCAACAACTAAAAAGATTAAAAGTTAAAAACCAAATGTGAATTCATGATGCCATAGAAACAGATGCAGTAAGAGTTTACATAATTTAACCTTAAGTTTCAATTAAATATACACTAAAGCCCCACGATAGTGCAATACAAAGGATTACAACAAATATCATACTTTTTAATTTTTAATTTTTATTGATCGACTGACTCAAACTTCCGTGGTCTTCTCCTAAAGTATACTGCACTACTCCTATCTTTGTATGTGGGGAGAATACACAATGGCTACTTGGAAGGAAAGGGGAAGCCGCAGGAGCAGGAGCACCTAGGTTCGGTGAAGCTAGTGTAATCAAGAATGGATCCCCTTGTTACCTGGGCGCGGTTGTCAGAGCTGGCGAGCGCCGATGCCATGCGCGTGGCCATCCGGCGCCTGCGGGTGCTGGTCCGGCGGAACGGCCCGATGTTCCCCTCCTCCCCGTCCATATCCGGTCGCCAGCAGCAGCAGCCGGCAGCCGCGGGATTAAGCGGCGGGCGGCGGCGTGACTGGTGAGCGGCGGGCGGGACCGGCAGCCGGTAGGTGACTATTGCTACTGGGCTGCTACTCCGGCGTCGGCTCTTCTTCCTTGTCTTCCTATGGGCTTTCAAATGTTTGGGCTACTGGGCTAGCTGGATGATGGGCCAGGCCATGCCATTCAAAATAATACCCAATGAACACAATGACAGACTCACATCCTAAACTGAACCATGATCTTCTCCAGTGTTTCCTACACCAGATGTAGAAAGCCAAGCTTGTGCTTTCTGCTGTTCATCAGTGAGTCATCTAAGACCATGTTTGGCAGGGCTTTACTTTATCAGTAAAACCTTTTTTTTTTTTGCTTCGGCTCCACAAACGGCTCTACCGGTGGAGCTAAAACCATTTTGGCAAACCGTTCCATCTATCATGCATGGCTGAGAGAGGTCAATTGTCCAATATACCCTTGTGTACATACATGTGTAGTAACACTTGCAGCGGTACGTTTCTTTATATTTTTTTATTTAAGTAAATTTAAATTTAAAAAATAACAATTAAAAATAAAAAATAAAAATAAAAATAAAAAAAGATAACATAAAGTATTAGCAACTAGTATGCCCATGCAAATATGCAAATGCACGTACTGATAACGGAGCAAAACTGCAGGCGCAGCTCATTTTCCTAGTGGCAGATTGCGTAATTTCATCAAATCTCAAGGGTAGTGATGCACGGGCCTGGAGAAGCTTTTTTTTTTTCTTCGTCCCACCCCAAACTCATGTGAGAACATGCTTTTAGGGCTTCTACCCTATTTGGCGGCCTAAACCACATGGTACTACTTTCTTTGTTTAAAAAGTGGATAACTACTGCCACTGTGCCGCATGTAATTGACAGTATACCAAAAAAATATCACTACTAACTTGCTTTTTAGGTGGCCCCACACAATTTCAATAGTATTGACGATGATTTTCTACTGAGTAAGAGTATATATAGGCCACAACTCTAAATCAAATGCCTAAACAACTTTAAAATCATTTGTATAATCTGTTCAGGTACCCCATAATTCACGTAATTGAATGCAAAATTAAATTGCTTATTATTCAGCTAAATCCTCCAACTCAAATGTATTGAGTATTGTACTAGATTAGACGTACCAGTGAGCACATGATCCATCAAAGAAGACAAAATTCATAAGCAACAACAAATCTGTAGTTAGTGTCAATCAGCATTGTAGACAAATACCATGAAACATCAACCTTAGATGAGGCATGAGACCCTTCCTCACATGTTTGTGCACGCAATATAATGTTTGGTTGAACATGTTCGGGTGATCCAGCTCAAATATCTGAAAAGAAAAAAAGACAGAGTAGAACAAAACACATGGTAAAAGTCGCAAGCACATTTCTCTAGAAAATTTCGACAAACACCTCCTCTACATGGCTACTGAACCTACTTGAATGCCAAAATGTCCATTTGTGAGTGGTGCTATAGCGGCACATAAGTACTCCCTCAACCAGAAGTTATTATTATTTGGAGGCTGGATAGGGCCTCTGGCACTGTTCCTGTGTACTTCTTGGCCACTGTTGCCGTCCGCCCGTCCTGCTTCTACAGTCATGCCATGCTCACGTGTGCGCTTCGTGTTGGGAGAAGCTCAGTGGACCCCGCTCATGGTGGACCACGCTGCTGCCGTCTGGCTGTGTGCACTGCGTCAGTTCGCAGCGTATCAGGACTCAGCGCGTCGCTGCTCGGTTCGTCGTGCCGTGCACC